TGGGGCTATGACTGCATCTCGATACTTCAGCAAAACCAAACATACTGAAGTCAAGGGAAAGCATCTCTTGTCTTCATTTTAAACATAGGGCTGATTCTGCCAGTCACTCAGTTTTATTAATCAAACAAGAAGTATCAAGCCAGCAGAAGTAAAATTTCAATTAAAAAAAAACCCAGAATGTACAAAAATAGACTTATATATACGAAACTGAAATTTTTGATAAGCAGAATAACTAATAAATCAGAATCACAGTGCTTGGAGCAAACATGTATTTCTTTACAGAAGAGGCAAGTAAATACCTGGTTTTGCTCAGTCAATTGAATTAAAAGTATTTCTTAACACTTGCTTCTCAATTATGAAGCATTTTCTCTGTAATAACATTTTTAGGTTGTCTCAACTCTCACTCTCAGGAGAATCCAGCATATTTGCATCCATAATAAGGTTCTTCCTGTATTTAAGATGCTTTCCCCCAAACCACTTCTGAAATTGTACATATCCTCAACAGTATTTACACATTCAATAGCAAAGAAATTATAAACACTATACAACAGATGGAATGCATTACATTTTGAAACCTACAGAATAAATTAAAAGAAATTTTTGAGTCTTATCCAGTAAAACCTTCCTCCTAGGAAGCCCATCTGTGAACGAGGACCATAAAACTAGATCCTTTATTAGTAGGAAATAAAAGACAGAAAAAAAAAATTTGCTTTTCTAACCTCTTAAAAAACCCTAATTTTGATAAACCAAAGCAGAAAGATAAATTTTTACTTGTGGAAGCAAAGTAGTAATTGTAAGCTATACTAGAAAAGGAATCTCTTTCCTGATTTACTTTTGTAGTAGTTAACAGAGACTCCAGCACTGGTTGGGTTTCACTGTACTCTGTGACTATAGATTGTACAAGCTACACAAAGTATTCTGCATTCAATGACAATTCTTAATTTATGAAATTATATTTAAAAAAATTATGATCTTCAGTAGGTACTATCTTCTCTCAAATAGGTTTCAATACTTTCAAAGTGAAACTATTATAGAAACATCCAATTATTTATAGGATTAAAGCTGACAGGCCATACACTTAAGCCTCTATATTGAATGCATATTTTGCATAGCTGATAGTGTTATTCACATGCAGTCCCCTGAGAGATTTGGGTAATGCATCAATAAGCATAATTTCTAACTGTGGATTGAGAGTGCTCTTATTAATTTCTCTCCTCCGAGTATGAAATGCAAATTGTGAAAAGGAGAATTTGCATCTTAACTTGGCTTACATATTATCTCTGCTTTGCACCTGAGGAAATATCCAGATACTAAGTTACAGTTAGAGCTTCACCAATACCATCACTGTTTACTGGAATCAGAGTTATTTTATTTTATGTCCTGACTCAATCATGTTTTCAACTTTAAGAACTACCCTTTGTCACATTTTAAAAATGTATAAATTGCGAGCTATAGTTTGACTGTTACCAACTATAAGCAATATCCGTCTGCCCAAAGAAGCATTACCTTTCATTGGGTATCTCAGATTTGAAAAACAACCTGCTAGAGAGCTGGATAAACCCGAGTCTTGGCAATTCACTGATCAACTAATTATTCCAAATTTCTGCTTTATCCTAAAGAACATCTTTATCTCAGCAAACAATTAAACAGCTCATTATAAACCTTGTCTCACAAATCCTAGTTCAGTTCTTTGCTGATCTCATGTCTATACTACTTTTGCTAAGCTTAATATTATCCAAAGCATATTTCCAAGTTTCATTAAAAACATCGATTTAGTCCTTGAATAAATCGTCATAGTAATACTAGATGTCTATATAGATACACGCTATTCAACTCCTTTTCCTGCCACTGCACCCACACATAAACCACGAGAAAGGCAGTACTCCTTTTGCTCTAATTTCTATGTTAAACAGATTTTTATTTGCATTCTTCTCAGTATTCTTGGTCATATCTAAGAACATATTTTCATTCCAAAGGACTACAGAATTGCTACATAACTAGCCTCAACATCCATAAATCTAAAATATTTGCAGAAATATAATCCTTTCTTTTTTCATGACTCAGTATTAACTTTAGATGTTCTTAACTTAAAACATAAACAGTATTTTCTTACCATACTTTAAAATCTTAGGAGAAATACATAAAAGATATCATTCCTATTATGTGATAACAACGACTGTGTTGAAAAACACTACTTTCAAAAAACAATCTGAAAGCCAAGAAGAAAAAAAAAAACTTGGATGCTCTCCTTTAAGTAAAGAAGTACTTCATCTGATTTAGGATCTCGTATCAACTGACTTACGATGCAACAATATAAAGGCAGCATTATGCTCTTGATGTTTGGTTTCTAACCGCCTTTTCATTGCCTGGCAAACATGAAACAAGCACTGACGATGTCAGCAAAACTTGAAAATGGAAAATAATTCTAAATAAGCTTTAGTTTGTTAAAGCAAGAACTGTGAGAAACGATTTTATGTGATAGCACCTTAAAGTATTTACATTACGAGTAAAGAGTCAAATCTTTCTGCAGGTCTGTGCAAGAGGACTCAGAAATAAGGATTCATTCGTGCATTTACAAATGTGATCACAATCTGTCATTTGATCCTCCTGCCAAACAGAAAACCATAACATGCTTCCAAGGGCTGTACATCTTCCATATTTGTGATGGAGCATTTCCAAAGGTGAAGGAATTTGGAGGTTAACTTCCCGCCTCCCCGTCGCCCCAGCAGGCTGGGGTGGTTTGCTTGGATTAGTAATTTTTTGCTAAGTGACACAATACTGGAAAACATTTTGGGCAGGACCCCAATGTACCACCGGTTTAAGATACAACCTTTTGCACCATGTAGGTTCCAGCCTTCCGTCAGCACAAATTACCGAGGAGGTTTCATAAAAAGAAACATCTCTATTTTTGAACTGGATTATGATACTAATTCTACATCTCCCTACTTTTGACAGGCTGAAGAGAAGTGAAAATTATTAGCCAAGAAAATTGACTGAAAGTTTGATTAGCAGCTGGCAAAAGACTTAAGACGAAGTTCAAAACCCAAGAACTAAGCAGGAACACTGAGAAAAATAATCAGCAAAATCAAAATGATTACAGGTTGGCTTTTGTAATGTTCCAGGTAAATGGAGAGATCTAATATCTTCTTATCTAATCAAAGAATTAGCATTGCCACTGTATTTTTAAGTACAGAAAGGATTAAAAAATTGATTCCAGTATCAAGCAATATCACATTTGATTTCTGAAGTCACCACGAGATCATAGAGAAACACAGATCTTCCATTGTTAGATACACCTTCACGGTACTGGAAGGTAAGTCACACGCCAAGCAATGTTGTAATCTGTAGGGCAAAGCCACTGTTTAAAAGGAATTCATACATACTTAATGCAAAAAGAAAAGCAGGGATGCAGACTGACAGAATGGATTTTTCATATAGTAAGCCTTAAAATTTAACTAATTATGTTACAGCCAAGAAGAGTCACACTTCAGACTCAGCTCCGACTTGATTCTGTAAGCATGTTAGAAATGGTTTGCACAGTATGAAAAACATAATGTTGCTCTGATTTTTCTAAAATTTGCCTTACTTAAAGGAATTAAAAATATCAATATCCTCCCAGTCTTTCCCTTACACACAGGACTCAGATATTCATACGCTGAGGATTACTCAGCCCAAGGCCTCTATATTCTCCTTTGCAATCATTTGGCTTTGTAGGTTTTCCTTCCACAATCAATATTAAAAGGGGTGAAATTGTATTTCAGGCAAAACCAGCCAGACTCTCAAAATCAAACTGACTACAAACAATGGGGAAAAGCATTGTTCATTGTAATATACTAGACTCTAAAAGAACACAAGAATTTGACATTTTTCTAGAGTGTTATAAAAATATATATATATTTTTTTACTAATAAAACAGGATTGTAAGTTTAAACATTTCTTGCTGGCATCAAGCCACAACCTTCTATGTTAAAATGAGATAATTCTCTTGCTGATTTAAACAGAAATCTTTTTAATCATGGGAAATGTCTTTGTAGTCTTCTTGTGACTGTGTATTTAAACAGTTTATTATCCATTGGAAACGACAGATAAAAAGGGAAAAATAGTTATTTTCAAATCTAACCATAGGTCTTAAAAAGAAAGATCAGTTTCTGAAGAAAATGCCACCATCACATGGCAGCTCTGAGGTAATTCTATGCATAACTAAGCACCTCTCAGATCATGTGAAAAAGTTTTCAAAAGTCAAGAATGACAAGAAGACAAAGACTTTTATTAAGTGTTATAAATTCAGACCCCCTTCTGTTTAAGAGAGACTTCTTTTTTATTGCCACTGATCTTATTTTCAAAAGAAATCTACTCTGTCTATTAAAAACAGTATTGTCAATTAGTTTCCACTGAAATTAAAAAGACAGAATCACAGGATGATGAGGCTGGAAGGGATCTCTGAAGATTGCCTAGCCCAACCTCCCTCCTCAACGACAGCAGGACCATGCCCAGTCGGGTTTTGAATCCTTCCACAGATGGAGGCTCCACAACCTCTCTGGGCAACCTGTTCCTGTGTTTGACCACTCTTACTGTGAAAAAAGACACTCATAATGCTACTACTTTCTGTGACACTACTTAGATGAAGCTGTTCATCTTAGTTTGACACGTGCTATAAACGCATCCTCTTTGCCTGCAGGGTTATACAGTAACCTACAGAACATCGTTTCAGTAGGCTTCAGCCTATTTGCTTAAAGTTATCCAAGTTGATTAAAGAAAAGAATTTTACGACTGTCACTTTAAAGGTGTATTAAAATCAGTAAATCATTGGGCCTGACAATTTAATCATTCACATCTATTCAGAGTTGGGTAAAATCACTGTAAATGACTATACAGAATGCAACACAACAGTACTCAGCCTGAAATATAAAACTGCACACAAAAACACAAAATAACCAAACCACAAACCTTCCAACATTGGTAGGTATGAGAACATTTCAATACATTTGAAAACTGCTTACTTTTCCTCGGCTGGCAGTTCAGTCTCGTAAGTAGCCATCTTAGCTCCTGTCCCAGCAGGCTTTGCTGTCCTTTGTCTTCGCTTTCTTCTTGGAGCTGTATCGATGACATCTGGGCTGCTCAGAAAGGAATCCTTTCGTTCTGGTGCTGCCAAAAGGAAAAGGGCCAAAACTGAAGAGAACTTTACCAGACAATTCATAAAATATTTTTTGGTTATTTTTATTAAAATCTCTATACAGCTAAGATAGGCTCAGATTTGACAGCAGCTGTTGTCAAAACAGATGACATAAAGGGAAATTCCAAAAGACCAAACAAACTAGAAAGATAAGCTTCCCTCAAAAACTTTGTTGTCAATGGAGAGAAAGATGGGCAGTTATAAACCACAAGTATATTGATGATCTTCTCATTCCTCCTTGTAGAGTCTACAGTAACAGAACAGGTAGCCTATAGAGCCCAGTTTCACCTACCTTAACTGAGGTAGTTAACCCAGTCTTTTTCACCTACTGAATAACTGAGGAAGATGTGCACGTGGCACAGGGAAAGGAGCTTGAGTGTTCTGCTTACTGAATGGCTTTGTTCAGATTCTTGGTTTGCAGTGTGAAAAGCAAGACACACCCAGAACAAAAAATAAATAAATAATTTTCAATGCTGATTAGCATAAACCCTTGAGAGAAGCTTTATTGCTGTGATCAAGCACTGTATTTTGTAACGTACTAGTCATTCTGCTACCACGGACCTCCGGGCAATAAATCCTTACAGGTTCTGCTGGAGACTCCCTAGAACAACAGGCAGAAAGACTGATGGACAGCCTGATGTCTGTTCAGTGAGTCAAGACATTATCCCTCTGGAGCAAACCCAAGCATAAAAAGTGTTAACATCACCTTACTGCTCTGCCCATGGAGCAGGTGCCTCGAGTTCAGACTAAACCTCTCAAAGTCACAAAGAGTAGCTGCAATCCGAAAGGAAGACAGTGAGAATTCCTAACACCTCGCAAGCCAAAACTGGATAACCTGTCTAGGTTTCCACTGACTCCTCTGCTCAAGGTAAGTAAAGTAAGCTCTGTCCAGGTTCGTTGACTTACAATTTTAATTCCCATCATTACTGCATAAACTATTTCATGCCTGGTTCACATTTATGTTATCATGTAAATTCATAAAAGATGCATTATCTACACTTAAAAACCAATCCTCTCTCTGCTTTGACAGTTATCGACTTGAAGCTCAAATTTTGAGACAACTGGATTCTTCCTTAAGCTAAACCCCTCCCTTCCCTTGCTATTAATGCACTCAGAAGATACGTAGATATTGTTATTCCAGCTATCAACATTCTATAGCATGCTTTTAGTTGGTATGCCTGCTTTAAAATAAAATCTTTAATTACTTTGAATTTTCAAGATAATGACATCCAGAACAGCACACGTTTCAACCGAAATATATTAAGTAATAATGTGGTGACTGAGGCTGATGCTACTACGGTAACTTCCCTGATTAATACTTTCTGTGTGTTTTAGGAAGGTTTAATCTTCACATGGATGAAAGACACCATAATTTGAGTCTCAATACCGAGGGTTTCCACAGAAAGTAAATAATGGGTCCTATTTCTTCATTCTTTTCGCAGTTGTTATCTACGTCTACTGAAAATGAAACAGGAAGAAAATATGCAATCCACAAGTAACATTTACACTGTTTCTCAAAAAAAAAGTGTTTCTGACCAAGAACAGTGCTAAATTAAACATGTTAATAGAGGCTCCCTAGAGCCAGTGCAACCACCGCTCACAATGAAGCATATGCTTAAATATCAGAACCTCTTAGCTTTTACCAACATGCACTACATACTACTTCACAGACTTACAGATCTTTTTAGGGTGACAATAGGTATTAGCTGACATGTTTCCAAGGCACAAGCTAATTAAAAAGGTTCAAAGTCCAGTACAGGCGAGATACATTGCCTATAATGAATGCTGAAAAGGGTTAAATTACAGCCTAATTCTCCACACTAAACTTTAACTAGCTATGCATACTTTTCCAGTGCTAAACATTGAAAATATGTTCCTGAATGTTAGATACTATTTACTGGCAACATGTTCAGGGTAGTATATCCAACATTTACACTAGTACTATCTTATATATTCCAACATCACTTCCTAAAGTCAGTCCTCTCTTAATTAATTCACATAAAATAATTTATTGTCAAGAACCAAACTTGAATAATTTTGCTATCATGGCTCTTACCTTTCCTTGTTGCTGTTCTCCTCCCACACTCTCTGCTTGTGCCAAAAAGTGGATCCAGAAGTTAGCTACATATACAAAACCTACATAACGCAGATGTTAAATAAATAATGTCTCGGTGGTTTTACTTGCGTAATATGCAATATTGCTCATGGCTTTCAGGCTCAGCATTGTTTACTGTTTAGACAGAAATCCCGTTTGTCTTCTACAACAGTCCCACTGGTGCTCAAGTGAGAAAAATGGAAAAGAAATATTCGTTTTTGCGGCATACTGCATTTGTGCTAACTTCAGGCTGGGAAAGGGTCTCAGTTTTCTACTAAATGTCTCAATCTAAGCTTTCCCATGAAAATAAATTTTGTTCTTGTGACCTATTAAAACCAAGCAGAATAAAAAAAAACACCACTAAATTATTCAAGTAAATCCCTGCAATAAGTTAACCATTTCAATTGTGAGAATGTTTTTTAATAATACCAAGAAGGTGGCTTCTCATTCAGACAGCCTAGAACGATGCCTTACAAAAAGTAGTAGACTGGCTCATAGATAATCATTGATCACCATAGGCTTGATGTGGGTTATTTTGGTTTTTGTTTGTTTCTTTTAAGTCAGACTACCTCTTAGGTTAGAACTGCTATTCATTTATAGTACTTGACTGCAAGCCAAAGAAAGCTTCAGTAAAATATTATTCATTGCTTGTCACAAAATCATTCCCTTGCTTAAGGATCTTGCCATTTTCTCTAGGATGGTTTCTCTGGGAAACAACCAGGCTGCACATGCAATTACTGTCTCTCCTGCTTCTGCCCTTGCAGAGCATTGCTGGCAGATAAACTAGACTGAAAGAGGACAAAGTGGTCACAAAAAAACGACCTAAAGAGCATCAGGACTGCTTGTGACAGCTGCTCCTCAAGCCACGAAAGAAAAAAAAAAAAAAAGAGAAGGAGCAGAATTCATCACTTTAATCCTTGACTATAGTGTAACTTCAGTAATTATGTGGTTTCTCAATCTCAGCCTAATTCCTAAGGGTTCACCATAGCTGATAATAATTAGCATCTCTTTGACATTCTCAGCAGAGAGTCTCCTAAATGAATGGGTATGGAAATGAATGTGTCTCACTGATGTAGGCAATTCCTGCAAAGTAGGATTAAGTCATTCTTGACAGGCAATTTAGGAAACATCACTTCTACCTATACTAAAGTTATCCTGTATATACACATTCTGGCCATAACTAGAGATTTTTCATAGGAAATAGATCCATTTAGATCGCTCAGAGATCCAAAATTAAACATCGGTTCATGCATATGCTTCAGAGAAAGTAACAGGAATGTGTCACTATTTTAATTTTAGGAAAACAGTGAGAACCATTCTCCATTCCCTTTGTTCTGTTCTACTTTGCATTTCATTCTTTGTATAAATTTGGGTTTACTGTATCATAATCCTCCTGAGGCCTAAAGGCGGTTAAGACTGCAGTTCTATAAATTCTCTGTCAGTTAGTTATTAACGTTTATTTTTATAAAGAGTATCTCCATGGGAAGTGTTTATGAAGACACATTTTAAAACAACTCCAACAAAAAGTTTAGATCCAGCTATATAAAATTTATAAATTGTATCCAGTTCAGTAAGGAAGTTTACATTTCACCCTGCTAGACTGTATTACCACTAACAAAGCATCCTGAGTCTTAACATGTAGACTTTTCTATTTGCAAAGCCTGTTCTTTTCCTGATGTCATTCTTTTTCAAAAGCTTTTAAAATACAACTCTTTTCTTTAATTAAAAAAGCTTATTTCAAACCCACGGGAAAACATCAAGTTATAATAAAAATCTGGTTGACATACGGTTTCCTTCTCAATGCTTATTTATTGGAGACAACTCAGGTGCTCATCTGTTACCACTTCACATTGTCTTGAAGATGGCCAAAAAAATCAGGGTAAATTTGACAAGCAAATAATAAGCTTGGTCAGGAAGCATGAAAAAGTCTATTTTCATATATCAAAATATCAGAAGGGGAAAAAAAGAATGTGCTTTTACAAATATCTGCAGACACTATGAAGGGGCTCGTTAACTTTAATAATAAAAGCCATGATCGCTAATAGAAATCCCTCTTTTAAAAATACTCTGATATGGGATATTTCAATAAACCATACGTACTTCATCAGATGAGATACTAATTTCCAGTAATTCAAAACAACGTGTGTTACTAAAAATACTTTAGCAATGCCATAATTCGAAGAAAGTCACTCGTTATAAACATTGTCAAAACTTACGATTTATCAGTAACCCAGTAATCTCGAACATCCTCGCAGTATACAGCTGTATACGATACGTGTGTAGTGTCTCCAACCCCTAAAAATTAACACCTGCCTTATAATACAAACAGAAAGCTTCATAATCTGCTCAAATCTTTCCTGACATGGGTCAGGTAGAGGCTCCATTATGAAAAGGTGAGGCTACGAGATGCAATTTTGATATATGAAACCTACTGACAGATACGGTTGCTTTCCCTGCTTTATTTTTTTTACAGAAGCAACGGCAATGTTGGCCACTCACATGCTGCGGTGGTTTTTGACTAGCCAAAGGCTGTTTGGTGATGAGTTAGGCTGCTCAGCAACAGCATGCTCCAGCTTTCCAATGGTCTACTGAAAGTTCAGGTTTCTTACGCACAGTAGAAATCCTTTTCCATCTCTGACTCTCGAATCTTTTTGAAACTCTTTATTAATGCTGCTCGATGAGGCTAATTTTTGTGTACCATGGTCAGATGCGCTATCGTCTAGCAAAGCAGCACATCTGAGTTCAGGCAAAATAATTTAAAATGTTGTCGTCTGAGAAGGTTTAGATGAGCTCACTGTCCCGGGTGTGACTGTCTGCTGGAGTCATTCTCTGGACTCCTTCTATGTCCTTTTTGGATCATCTGTACCACCCAGGGTG